TGTTACAGGACCTTGCAATAAGGTATGTCGAACAGTGTGCTAACTTTCGCTACTGACTATTTGCTGGTGTCCAGTATCTGTCATCCATTTCAGCTACTATATTTTTGCTTTGATTTTGTTTAACCTGTCTGGATTGTAGCGAGGTGGTTCGCCTCATCCCTTCCGAGGCTTTTACTGTCGCCTATGGATTGGGTTAAAAGTCCTTTTATCAGGCTACTTGTTTTTTTTCATTTTTAAAACTATCCTTTCCGGTTGAGCACCGTAAATCATGGTGTAGTACAATTCAGTTATACTGCGCACTAACCACCCCCAATACACAGTTCTACTACAAAATTTTTGTTCTGATTGGTAGAAAGTGAATTCGGCATTTTGTTGAACAATCCTTTTTTTTTTTCATAATTTGTTTAATGGGATGTGCTTCAAGGGATGAGGAAAAAATGGATTAACTGTTAAGCGCTCCAATTCCATTCTGGTATGAAAATGCAATCGTGGAAAGTGACTGCCAGAACGATCATGTTTTTAGTGTGTTTGATAAGAAGGTATTGTGACAATACATCTGAGTCGATTGATTGAAGCCTTTTTATTTAAGAGAACAGCTTATTTTATAGACTTGATTGTTGTTTTTACGACGTTTTTCATATGGTCCGTATTTAACTGGGCCAGAAAAATATACTCAAGAGCTTAAGGTCTGAAGAGCTGGCAAATAACATGATTATGAAATTCTTAAGTCGTTTCCTCCTTGGTGGTGAAGGTTTCAAGGTATGGTCATTTCCATTTATCCAAAATGAGGATATCATGACACGATCGTTGTTTAATCGGATTAGACCTTGCTAGGAGCGAAGGGTGACTTAAGGTAGGGGGTATTCAACCTCAAAACCCTAATTCATGATAAATTTATCTGAAAAGGGGTTGCGTCAGCTATATCCATAAACAAGCCGAGTATTCTTCAAATCTCTTCTATGCAGAGGAAAACTTTTCTTGAGAAATAAAACAGGCCGCTCCTAGTAGGCAGACTATCTTGTTTTTCGGTGGACACAAGTTGTGTGTCTATCGAGTGTGTCATGTTCGCCGGCATGTCCGCTTGAAATGTGGGTCGAATAATAACTGAGGGACGCATGGGCACTACCCCTTGACACATTGACGCAGCTCTAATGCCCCATCGTTAAAGGGTTAAGCGTTTCATCACTCTGTCTTCCTGTACGTAGTCATCTGCGGACACGAGTAGGTATCCGCAAATTCAGGTTTCGAGCCTTAGTTCACAAGTAACTTCGTCAACACAAGCTGGTGCACTCACGCATCATGAGGTCTTGGGTCTACCTGGAATGCGCGGTGTACGATCCTCAACCTTTCATCGAGCTTTTATTCCCAGAGCGTCGAGTGGACCCGCAGACAAACCGAATATACTTTGTAAATCATAAAAACTGCACTACGCAATGGGAGGACCCACGGGAGCGGGGCATGGACGAGAGTCGGCCGTTGCCACCAGGCTGGGAGAAGCGCTATACGGCGGCCGGCCAGCGATACTTCATCGACCACAACAGCCGAACGACAACCTTCATTGACCCTCGCACTGGACAGCATGCTGGGTGCGTTCTTCTATTTCTGATCTACTGCTTCACAAACGCGATTGCTTTGCTTTCTGTTGCACTTGACGGTTGCAAGTGGAAATTAAAATCCTTGAGTTAACTAAGATGTTCAAATTTGAGTACCCATATATAATTCGATTCTTTAAAGGTGGAGGAAATGTTTCCCTGTAGATAGTAAATCTCCCAAAATCACCTGCAAATAGTCCCTTTAGTTTTCGTCGCCAACTAGGTAGATTCAACTGTAAGGCATTTCTGAAGAAACTTCTCTTTGCAACGTCTAAAATGGTAATGAAAGTTCTTTTACCAGTCTTCCTGCATTGAATTATATAAG